GTCGGCAAGAATTTGAAGCAGACTTACGTCGGCTGGTACACTTGGCATACCCAGAAGCACCGGAAGGGTTTAGAGAGGAACTCGCGGCCCAGTGCTTTATCAGTGGATTGAAGGACAGCGAATTACAGAGGGCGCTGCAAATATCCCGATTTTCTACCAGCAGCGAAGCACTGGTCAGGGCGCTGGAAATCGAAGCTGCCTTTAGCGCCATCCCTAGACCGAAGATAAGAACGGTAACGGTCGAGGAACAGCCCGGAAGTTCTCACATACGTTTGGAGGAGATGTTTAGTAAACTATGTGAGTTACTAGTGAACAAGAGTAGCAACAACACCCAGACAGAGAGCCATAGAAGATCACAGGACATAAGGTGCTATAGATGTGGCAGGAATGGCCACATCAAACGGGATTGCCACGTTCAAATGCGATCCCGTTCACCATCCAGAGAACGTAGGCACCAGGAAAACTAAAATCAGTCAATACTAAGGGGCGAGTATTGACTGGGGAGAACAGAGCCCCCAGGATTTTTTCCATTAGAAGTCTAGGAAGAACCGCTGACAGTTTGGTGATCGACGGGAAAGTCAATGGAAAGGGAATCCGAATGACAGTGGACACTGGCGCTATGGTTTCGTTGGTGCGGGCTAACTCAGTGCAAGGATTGAAGCTGGTGCCTCTGAGAAGAAGAGTGTGTTTACGTACAGTTACGGGGGAAATGGCCGTTGTACGGAGAGGCTATCGTCGAACTGAAGTTAGGAAATTTGAAGTTCCAGCATAGCGTTTTAGTGGCAGATATTGAAGATGACTTCATCTTGGGCATGGATGTGATTCGTCAACATGGATTTTCGTTCATCACCAAAGAAATATCCTAAATATCGGAAACGAAGAGTTCATGTTATCTCCAGACGAGGGACCAGGAAGGATGGATGTAAGATCAGCGGAAACTGTGGTGATACCTGGTAATACCGAGAAGATCGTATTCGGTAAAGTGGAGAAAATCGCTGGGTGCTGTGTTGGACTGGTACAAAGTGTCGACAAGAAACAAGATAGGTACTTGGTGGGAAAATCATTGGTGAACACCGACAAGAATATACCGATCAGAATTGCGAATGTTTTTGTGTCAAGATCATCAATGAATTGTGTCAAGATCCAAAAAGGTGACAAGATAGCCATCTGCGAACCTGTAAGAAGTGTCACCCGATGTGATGAAGTGTCGTCAGCTGTTACACAAAAGGCATCCCAAGAACACTAAAACATCTAAAACAGCCATGGGATCACCTAACATCTGAGGAGAAACAGTTGTAATAAGCAGTTCCTGCGAAAGCATGGCAGTATTTTTGAGAAAAATAACAGTGGAAGAACGGATTTTGTGAAGCACCGAATTAATACTGGTCATGCCCAACCGATTCGACAACGTCCTAGAAGGGTTCCCCTTTCCAAACAACAAGAAATGGAGACAATGGTAGATAAGATGTTAGAAGATGGAGTTATCGAAGTATCATCAAGTCCATGGTCATCTCCTGTTGTTTTGGTGACGAAGAAAGATGGTAGTACACGATTCTGCGTGGACTATCGGAAGCTCAATGACGTCACTAAGAAGGACAGCTACCCACTGCCACGTATAGACGACACGTTAACCACACTGGCAGGTTCGTGCTGGTTCTCCACTCTCGACTTAAAGAGTGGATACTGGCAAGTTGGGGCCTGGACGAGGAAGACAAAGAAAAGGCGGTTTTTTCTACAGGAAACGGACTATACCAATTCAAGGTCATGCCGTTTGGGTTATGCAATGCTCCAGCCACTTTCGAACGTCTCATGGAGGTGGTGTTAAGAGGATTAACTTGGAAAACGTGCTTGGTTTACCTCGACGATGTATTGGTTATGGGAAGAACTTTTGAAGAGCATTTGCGAAATTTAGAAGATGTCTTCGGCCGCATACGGAATGCTCACCTGTACTTGAACCCGAAGAAGTGTAGTTTATTCCAGCGACAAGTGGAATTCTTGGGTCATGTAGTCTCAGCAGACGGAATTTACACCGACCAGAAGAAAATCGCTGCAATCAAGGATTGGCCTAAACCTCGCGACAAACATGAACTTAGAAGTTTTCTGGGTTTATGCACATATTACAGAAGATTTGTCAAGGGATTTGCCAACATAGCTGCACCTTTACATAAACTTACAGGTGATGAAGTCGGCTACGAATGGAACACCGATTGTGATGTAGCCTTTGAAAGACTTAAAGCGGCTTTATGTTCAAGTCCTATTTTAGCCTACCCACAACAACAAGGAAGGTATATCCTGGATACCGACGCCAGCAACATCGGCATCGGTGCAGTGCTATCACAAGTGCAAGATGGCGAAGAACGAGTGATAGAATATTACAGTCGAGTTCTATCCAAACCAGAAAGGAATTACTGCGTTACCCGGAAGGAGCTGCTAGCAATTGTAAAGGCAGTTGATCATTTCATAAATATCTGTACGGCCAAGAATTTTTAATTAGGACAGATCATGCGGCTCTCAAGTGGCTTATGGAGATGAAACAACCTGAAGGTCAAATAGCACGATGGCTCGAGAAGCTCCAACAGTATCACTTTACCATCCAACATCGTGCTGGAAAAATGCATGGTAACGCAGACGGTTTATCCAGAAGACCCTGTCAAACCGATTGTAAGCACTGCTGTAAAACGGAACAACGTGAAGGCACTGTCATGATAAGGAGTTTTAAACTTGGAACCGATGAACAGTGGACGACGACACAATTGAGGAAAGATCAAATGGAAGATCCAGACATCGGAGCAATACTACGGCTCAAGGAAGGTAACGGCGAGAGACCACCGTGGCAGGATATTGCGGACAGAGGGCTCGTTTTCAAAGCTCTCTGGGCTCAGTGGAATTCACTGGTTATTGAGAATGGATTGTTAAAGCGCACGTGGGAAAGTGCGGATGGCAGGACAGTAACAACTCAGTTACTGGTACCAAGAAAGAAAGTTACCCAGGTATTGGAAGAAATTCATGGTGGTAAAACTGGAGCCCATCTTGGGGTAAACTAGACCCTGAGCAAGCTGAGAGACCGTTTTTACTGTGTGGATTATTGTGAAGATGTTAAGAAATGGTGTCAACGTTGTAAGATTTGCGCAGCTAGACAAGGACCAAGTACTCGATCTGGAGGAAAAATGGAACAAGATAACGTTGGACTGTCGTTCGAAAGAATCGTTAGGAAGGAAAGATTACTGGACGTTCATAAGCACGTTAGAAATAAGATTGCGCTAGCCAGTGACCGGATGAAAGCTCGTTACGACCTCAGAACTAATTCTACGGGATTTCAACAGAATGATAGGGTATACCCACAGCGCAAGAAAGGAAGATTTCCAAAGTTAACTCCAGCATGGGAAGGTCCTTATACAGGCCCGCGAGGATAAATGATATTTGTGTACCGGATTCAACGCAGCCCTAGAAGTAAGATGAAAGTAGTTCATCTGGATCGATTGAAGAGATACCAGATAGGAAACCTTGATCGACGATCAAATTTTGAGAAGGGGCAATGTCAAGGTGTATTACTGGTTGCTTAACTGCATACTGCTAAAAATCGCAACGTGCCTTGAGGAACCTGGCGCATTCGCCAGAAAGTAAAGAAAAATTATAGAATTCTTTAGAAAAAAAATCTTAGAAACAACCGCCAGGGGGGGTACATAAGGCCCGCGCTTTGACAGTTGGACAAGTTTAAAGTTTGAAGTTTGAAGTCTGAAGATAGTCTGAAGTTTGAAAATACCGCGAAATACCGTTAGAGTAATAGTAGTTGCATAAGTTGTGTTGTAAATAGTATAAGTTGTGTGTACAGAGTGAAACAAATAAATTCGTTAAGTATTTTATCGTGAGTTTAAATAGTGGACCCACGGAATCCGTAACAGTATGTTCGTATATGACATAAATTAGGATTGATTGACGTATTCTATATTCTATCCTTTTCGGCCACTTCCTGTTTTATCGGAAATGACTACAACTTTTGATTTTTAAATGGCACCTTCGGTATTTTTTACTTTATTCGATAGAAAAATGACACTCTGAATTGAATGACATAATATATGTCAACTTTTGACATTTTTGCTTAAAACAAAATTGTATTCTTTTAAATTTCAATCTAGGGTGCCATGTCTATGTTAAAACACTAATTTTTAACCTTAGCCTTGGAAAAATAGATTTGATCGTCTAATGTTCTTAGTGTGTCTTGTCCTGGCCGCTTAAAAGATGACCAAATCGTATTTTTTAATCATATCTCAATTTTTTTCAAATGGAACGAGGGGGGCTCATTAGCTTATTTAGAAAAAGCATTTTTTACGAATAATTTGGTACCACACACTTGGTATTTCGAGTCAAATTGTCGTTATGAATCGTATGTTGCAATTTCAAATAAATAATAATGTCATTTTCTATCGAATAAAGTAACAAAATACCCAGGGTGCAGGTTAAAAATCAAAAGTTGTAGTTATTTCCAGTAAAACAGAAAGTGACCGAAAACAATTGAATACGTCAATCAATACTAATTTATGTCATATACCAACATACCATATCTAGATTTTTTATCTGAGAAAATAAAAAAGTTATAGGGGTGAGATTTGAGAGAGGACTTTTGAGACGCACCCGGTATAAGTATTCCTTTTCCATGTTGAAATATTAATTTTAACATTGAAAAACATGTTGATTTTACAAATAATAACAAAGTCAAAAATTGAAGATTTTCAACATAAAGAAGAGCCAAAAAAATTGACATAATTTTATCATCATTTATTAATTTTATCATCATTTCATCATATTTATAATCAGTACCAATCACTAGTAAGTGGTAGAATAGCTTACAGCTAAACTTCGCCCACAAATTGTAACTATCTTTTTTTTTTATAGTACAATAAAGACGATTTATTATTATTAATCACTAATCCTCTAACACAGTATTGACCGCTCCTTTCAATCGTTATTGATTGCTCTGTACTAAGAAATAGAATACGCACCTAAACCATTCGATATGTATATCTCCCGAGGCATCCAAGTGGCACTTGAGCACCACTCCACCTCCAAGTCGAATTTCCTCGGGTTTGGCCGGTTCCTGCAATATAACTTCGGGCTCTTCAATAACTGAAACAATAAAAAAACAAATTTATTTAATATATTCATTTTAAATGTATTATTAGTATTAGCTGAATAATAAAACTCAAAGATGGATAAGTAGCATGCTTATCTATACTAAAGTATAAAATCCTTAAGCGACTGACTCACTGATTAATCACGATCCTGCTCAAACCACTCAACGTAGGAAGCTCAATTTTGGCATACAGATTGATTCTAGGGTGTAGAAGTTCGATATTCTTTTCGGTATTTTTCGAAATTTCAGTTCCAAGGAGGTGAAACCACCCCTCAAATATTACAATATTTTTTATTTAAAAAACGGTCAAGTTTTCGAAAAAACGCTTAAACACGTATATTTTATTTTGTTTTTTTACATATTTTAAGATTTTTTAAAAATGTATACTATACTGTAATGTGTTTCGGAAAATCTGGTCATTGTTAATCACGATCCTGCTTAAAGCGCTTGACGTAAAAAGCCGATTTTTGGAAAACGGATTGACTTTAGGGTGTAGAGGTTAGATAAGAAGGGATTTTTCGAAACTGGAATTTTAAGGGGGTGAAACCACCCCTCAAATATTAGAATATTTTTTATTTAAACACCGGTGAGTTTTTCGGAAAAACTCTTAAACACGTATATATTTTATTTTGTTGTTTTACATAATTTAAGATTTTTTAAAAATTCATACAGGGTGTTTCATAAAATATGACCATTGAGTAATCACGATTCTGCTTAAACTGCTTGACGTTTAAAGCTGACTTTTGGCAAACGGATTGACTGTGGGGTGTAGAGGTTCGATAAGGAGGGGTTTCTCGAATCTCAAATTCTAAGAGAGTCTAGTCTTTCGGGAAAACGCTTGGACACGCATAATTTATGTTGTTTTTTTACATATTTTGAAATTTTTTAAAAAATCATACAGGGTGTTCCAAAAACTTGGGTAATTGATTAACCACGATTCTGCTTAAACTGCTAGACGTAAAAACCTTATTCTTGGCAAACGGATTTTTCGAAAGTCAAATTCCAACGAGATGAAGCTACCCCTCAAATATTACCAAGTTATATAATAATATCGCCATATAGTTTTTTCTCATGCTGACATAAATGTGAGAAAATTTTATCCAGTTTGTATGTTAATGGAAATTCTTGCTTTGCTTTATCATGACCATTACAAATGATTAATTCGACGCGAACGAAGTCGCGGGTACACGCTAGTTTATAATATAAAATAAAAGGTATGAACATTTAGTTTTCTCTCACCCTGCATGTAACGTAGTTGTATAATTAGTTAATAGAGCAATCAATCAACAATTTGCGATTTTACAATTTTGATGCAGTAGAAAATAGCAATTTAACACTTGGAAATAATTAACACTCAAAAATATTTTGAAAACTGTTGGATTTAGGTAACGACAATTTTAACAATGCTGCTTTTTACACTACTACAACAATATCTAGATCGGAGACTTTTTGCACATCATTGTTTCACAACGAGATCTATCGACTAAAAATATTTTCAATATGGCGGCACTTCCGGAAATACCGGAAGATGACAGCAACTTTCTTATTTTAAATGGGTACCCAATCTTCCGTGTGCTAATCGTTAAATCCTTCTTCAGGCAAGGACCCTAAATCAGAATTTTTTGCGCATCTGCCCGTGGGACAATTTATGGCCAATACCTATGGTACGATAATGTTACCATGTTGTCATGATAATGTTACAACTCAACAAGTCGTTGATTTGTTCTCTTATCGAGGTCTATAAACATTTACTATCTAATATGGAACTATAAAAATCGCGTATATATGAACAGCGTAAAATTAGTTTCTGGTGTCAAAAATGCAAATGCGTATAAGAGAACCCCCTTATCAATATGTCGCGTAAAACGAGGGACTCCTAACCTACCGTATGTTCCACTTATTGCAAATATTTTTAATAGAGAGTTTCTCTAGAAAACATTGTTGTGCAAAAAAGCTGTGATCTAGATATGTTAATTCCCTAGAAACTTCTAAAGCAATATGAGCCAGAGATATACAAAATTTGTAACATCAACACTGTAAAGGTAGTATCGATCCAGGATTCAGCATTCGCAAATACCACAGACAAAATTCCAGTTCGACTCGATTTGCATACGTTTTTTGGCGCTATCGACCACACACATCCGCACAAAATACATCATGGTATTGTGAAACCGGGAAAGACTGATACGCCTAATATATCTCCGGTTTGCGTGGCATTGGCATTCGCCTGTATTACGGCTTGTGCCATTCGGAATTTTAAGGGACCCGGTGCCACAGTTAAAAAAGAGATCCTGAACGTTACCGGAATAATTTATAAGGGGGTGAAAAAAACAGGAATAACTCAAATATAGCAGTAAATTCGCTAGAAAAGATTGACATAGTTCATCTTAATCTTGTCGTACTACAGTGACGGTTCCTCAGTAAGTGCACATGTGCACGTGAACCCCCAAATTTAATGCCTCTTCGTGAGAATGAAACTGATTTTAACTTTAAAATGCTTTCATTAATTCTATTTATTCCAATAACTATTTATTAGTATTTAGCATTATAAACTTCACAATAATTATAAACAAAATCTTCGTCGAATTTCTTATCTGGCCATCTATTACTTTCTAAACAAACTCTTTGGTACACTCACACGGACGACTTTACAGCGACTTTTGAATCACAAAAATGTGGTTGCCTCTGAAGAGGAACGATTTTAAATGGAAATCCGGTGAAGCGCTCACACGGGCGACAAACGTGCGTGGTCGATACCGTCCACAGAATTGTCACCGGCCAGTAGGGAATTCAACTCACACGGGCGTTTTTCCGACGACGCGACAACGACAATACAACCTGACCAGATGCTGACCATCAGGCCGACTTTTATTATAGTAAATTATATTATAGTATCTTATCTATGAGGCCGACTCCAGTCATACCTTTGTATCACCATCGAATGTATTTTGTATTACTCATTCTAAAGTACCTATAATTAAAGGATTTTTCATCATACATTCTTAACACCGGATAAAGTTTTTGGAACTGGCTTTCATATTTATGTTCTATGATTCGATGACAGCAGTGCTTCTTCAAAATTCATTTTTGACTGAATCAAAAATTTAGTTATGGTTCGGGTGTCGTCCATCAACTCACACGTACTACTCCTCGACGACATTTTTGTCGCGCAGTTGTGGTTATAACGTCGTCGATACCTGCGGCAGCTTTGGAAACCACTGTTTTGTCGTTGGAAAGTGGTCCGTGTGAGCTTAAACGCTGTATGCTGAATACGCGTAATGGGCCAATTCCACATGCGTTGTCATTTTTCATCAGATATAAGATTTATTATTCCGCGTTGCCTGAACGCATCGTTTACTACGCATCGGAATATTAGATCTAATTCGTTAAACATTTGTCTTCCACACCCTTTGTTCCCCGTGACACTCCACTCCGATGTTCGATGTTAGTGATGAGCGAGACTGGTCTTGGTCTTGAATAAAGAGCAAGACCTATTGAAGCTCTTGAATAGAAAGCATTTGATCCGCAAGACCAAAACCAAGACCGACAAGGCAAGACATTGCAAGACTTCTGCTAGACCAAGATTGGTCTTTGGGATCAATCACTTGGTCGTCTGACCAAACATGCAAGATCCTGCATTATTTTTCACGTTTATATGATATAAGAAAATACTTATTTGTTCAAAATTAGTATTTTAATTTATTACAAATACTGTTTCTCCGTCTAATGCATAAAATTTTAAAGAAGAAAATGCCCTGATTTAATATAATATATTGAAAAATAAAAAAAAATCAGAAAAATATTCTAATAATTTCGTTCTTTAAAGCCTTCCTTGCATCATTCTATACAGAAAGTACCTTTAGTAAAATCAATTAAAAAAATGCACCCAGACCAAGACTACTTAATAACTGCAAGAACAAGACCAAGGGGTCTTGGGGTCTTGGTTTTGCATTTTCTCATCACTATTCGATGTATTAAGCTGGCTCAAGTGCATATATAATCTGTGCACTTGCAACTCGTGATTGGTTAGGTTTGTAGTAATTTATATTAGTTATATAGTAGGTATTAGTTTGTAGTAATTGTCAGCGTCGGACAATGCCAAACCTTGTATTCAAACCTTGTATTGTTATATTATTGTCGTCAAACCTTGTATTCTCGGAACAGCATTAGACACACTCATCGCTAAGCCAAAGTCGACTAAGTCGACTACTACATAATTTATGAATAGTCTTTGCTTTAAATAATATTTGAAATAATAAAACTGGCATAATAAGGTAATTTTTAAATAATAAATCTCCTAGAAATGAACTATTGACCACAATGAAGTAATTTTAGAAATATACCGGGTGCGTCTCAAAAGTGGCGCACCTCTATTACTTTTCTATTTTTTCAGATAAAAAAACGAAATTTGGTATGTAAATATGACATAAATTATTGACGTATTCAATTGTTTTTTTTTCACTTCCTGTGTCACCGGAAATGACTACAACTTTTGATTTTTAAATGACCCTCTCGGTATTTTTTACTTTATTCCATAGAAAAGGACACTCTGAATAGAATTACATATCACATTAATATACTATAATAATACAATTGTAACATATTGTCCATAACGATAATTTGACTCGAAATACCACGTGTGTGGTTCCAAATTATTCGTAAAAAAATGCTTTTTCCAAATATGCTAATGAGCCACCCTTGTTCTATTTGAAAAACTTGAGATATGATTAAAAATACGATTGGGACATCTTTTAACAGGCCAGGACAAGACACGAAAAACATTAGACGATCAAATCTATTTTTCCAAGGCTCCTTGATTAAAAATTAGTGTTTTTAACATAGAGATGGCACTCTAGATTGAAATTTAAAATACGAGTTTTTATTATGCTTAGGCTCCTTGATTAAAAATTATTGTTTTTAATAAAGCCACGGCACTCCAGATTGAAATTTAAAATACAATATTTTTTTAAGCCAAAATGTCAAAAGTTGACAT